TACTACTCTATTTTATAGACATGATAAAAAGAGACTTAAAGGGCTTGTGTAACTTACATAACTATAAGTGGCAAGAATTATTTTCTTCTTTAGTCTTTATGATATTATAGTTTGTATTATCAAACAGGCCAATTGTTTCCTTAATACAATATGAAGGAAATCATTAATTTAAAAAAGACTTTTATAGCTCAAATGATTTCCAGTTATGGTGGAGAATTACCTCTTGCAAAACTCATTTAGCAATGACATCATTAAAGTCAATTACTGCTGGAAAGCCCATGACACCCGGTTTGTTCAGCCGGGAATGATGTTTGGGCATTGGCTGATTTGCTGTAAAATTACTCTTCATTGACAACTCCCTCTCATTGGATTCTTGAGCAGGAGGAGACATGTTCTCAACTCTTGTCTCCTTGTGGGTGAGTCAATAATGTGAGAGTTAGAGAAGAAAAGGGCAAAGTCATCTGCCAAGATTCTTATTCGTGATCATTTAAGAAACAATGTTAAACTATTTTAAGTTAAGATTATGGAAAAAGGCATGGAAATTGTAGAGGAAGAAAAGGGGCTCTTCCTCTTCAGGTGCCACCTGGGAGCTGTTGGATGAGTTTCCTGAAGAATTTTCCCCAAGTGCTATTATAACAAGCAAAGTCAATAAAATGTGCAATTAGGAGATAGACTAGAAACACATCAGCAAAATTCCCCTTGTCTTAAGTCAACCCTGACCCATGTGTACCTGAACCTTTAGGATACTAATTCTGTGTCCCTCAAGGGAGATAAACTTAAATGAGAAAAAGGCTGAGGAATAAGAATGACAGGGAGAGTTGCTGGTTTGTGAGAGTTCTACTTCTTTTTCTTCTCAAAAAAATGTAAGGTAAAAGAAACATGATCTGAATCAATAAACCCAGGGTGGTCAAGATTAACTGTAGCTCATTTTAAGTCTTTGAAAAATAATCTTTGAATAGCTCCTTGCATTTTGAATGGTAAGTAACCTTAGGAAAAATTAAAAGACAAATAGATATTAGCAATTACTATTTACTTTCTAAATACTTTTAGAACACTAGGAGTTTTCCCTTCCATCATTTTATTTTGTCCATTAAAAACAACCTCTGAGATTTATATGCCATGTAAATAGTACAATTCACTAGTTAGCCTTTTTCAGATGTAAGAAAACTTAAATCAGTAAAGTATTTAAATCAGTGTGTATATAGTGTGAGAAAAGAATCCTTTTTGAACATGAAATTCGTATCTTACATCCTCTTATTTCTATCATGCCATAGTATTGGCTATTAATTATGTGGTTCTGAATTCTGTTGTGGTAGTAGAAGAAAATGGTCATTAGTATGGAAGAAGCAATACAGATTCCTGCTTCAAGTTCTCTGTGAAGCTGCAGACCCATAGCTGATTCAAAATCTGCCAAAAGGAGTAGATATCAAAAGCCTATAGTGGCTGCTTAACATTTTCGGAGACGTGGCTAATGCTAAAGTCCAAGGTTTTCTTTTGTTCTTTTCCCCCATGTTTTTTTTTTTTTTTTTTTTGTGAAGCCAGGACAAGAAACAGATGTCCTGCATTTTCTAATATATTCTGGTTTTTAATCACTAAATCCTTTCACTCAACAAGTCTCCTCTAAGCAATCATCTGAGTTCAACTATGCTTACATAATATGTTCCATATGTGTGAGAATATCAGTCTCTTTCATGATTTTTTAAAACCTAAGTGAAATAATGCCAGAAAATCTGACTCTGCCTATACTAAAAAATTTGTTGTTACATTCATCACAGACCTACACATGAAGAAAAGGACCTTTCAGTTTATTGAAATGTGTGTGTGTGTGTGTGTGTGTGTAACTGATTTTCTCTGATCTTAAAGAAACAGTACAGGGTGAATTTAAGATGGAGAATTAAAGGTTAGAGAGTATTCATTAATTTGAATGTCTAGTTTTTCCCCATGTCCTCAAACATATTCTTTTTTTCTTCACTTTATTACACATTTGCTCCATCTCTCAGTAATTGACTAGAAATTCAGAAATCTATATGTAGGAGCAGTAAAGCCACATGCCCCACTTCTAACAGCAGCAGAATTCAGCACCCACTCAGATTACCTTATTAACATTTTGGTACTTTTCATGAAAAATCATCAGGAAAATCATGGTATTCTTTTTTATTAGGATCATATTCCTTGACTCCTGTCAAAGAATCTGTGTTGCCATCTGAGCATCCTTTCTGGAACCACCTCAGAGTTTTCACTGAGAATGGAAGCTTTTCTCTCAGGGAGGCTTTCTTCACCTTAATTCATAACTTTTTCTTCTCCCCACTTCCTTGTTTTAATGGAACTGACCAGCATTGTGGTCAGCCATTTACAGAGCAATAATGCACAGCAACGGTTCTCAACTTTGCTGTACATCAAATTCACATTGAGGGATTGTTAAAACTAAATTCTAGGCTTTAACCCAAGAAATCATGTTTCGCAAGGGTTTGAGTGAGGCCTAATAATTTGTGTTGTTACAAGTTCCCATGTGTCTGCAGGAAGCCACCTGTGAATTACTTGAGGGTCTTCTCTGGGTATGGCAGCCAGGGAGATTTAGGTCTAACCTTGGGAAATATCCTTGGCTCTCCCATGCAATAGATTGCCCAAAGCACATGACCTTTATCTCCACTCTACTATGAAGATCCCTCCTACTAGCTCCGGAGATGAGTGCAATCTGTTGGGAACTGGACAACCCACCTTTAACCTTTTTTGGTGAAGAACATTCTAAGGAAGGCCTTTCATGTTCCCTGATATAAATAAAGCAGGCATGGGCTCCATTTTTTCTATTTTAGTCTAGAAACTTGATCTGTCTGGTCAGCTTGCCTCTCTTGCCCCTGCTTTAAAAAAATACTTTCTGTGTCCTGTGGTTTTTTTTTAGTTGTTCTATTTTTCTTAGCTTTCATTTCTCAGCCAGCCCATTCCACCAAGGGGAACTCCATTTCCACCGCCTTTGTGGGACGTGGGCTGGATATGTCCACACTTTCAGAGTCAATAGACATGTTAATCACAGAAAGCAGTGGTCCCCACTTTGCCATGTTTTCTCAAATGATTGACTGAACTCTGGTCATCTATATTCTCTTATCCCAATATACCTTCTTCAGAGACCTATTTATTATTTAAACTTTCAATCTTATATAATACCCCTGTCTCTTTCCACTTTGTTCTCTTTTCTTTAAATATTTGAAATAATATTTATTCTGATCTTTATTTTATATTGGAACCTTATTATTATTATTATGTCATACCTTTAATCCTTGCATTTAAAAGAGCACCCAGGAGACTTTAATTACCGAATGAAGCAAGCATCTAATTTGGGTAGTTTGACAGATTACAAAAAATAAATAAATAAATAAAAATTTAAAAAATAACTTACCATCATATATGAAACTAAAAAAGAATGAAAAGAATTCCTGGGGGTGGGGGGGCAGGCCAAATGGTTGACCTAAGAAAAAGTTTTGTGCCTATCTAGAGTCTTTTCTTCAACAGCTGGTATTTGTCTTCAACATCAGTTGTTACAGGACTCATTATTCAGAATACAAAACAGGAAGTTGGCCAGAATAATTTTCAAGTCCTAATTTCTTCCCTTTTAGTTGAAGTAACAAACTTATAGACTTGAATTTTAAATGGTTAAATTTCTTAGTCTGGAAAACCACTGTATCAGTGACTGAGGGTTAAGATGCTTTAAAATGGTACATGTGAAAAAGCTTGATAAAGTTCTTAAGTGAAATAGTGGTGTAAAGACTTGTGCTGGGTAAAGTGACAAAGTGATAGAACAAAGTGATACTTGTATGTTTTTATCTGCAGAAGAAAAAGTGACACAATTCATTGTGGGCTTACTCAAAGATTACATATCTTAGGACCATTGAGAGGAAGGGTGATAGCACTAAGAGAAAATGGAGAAAATCAAACCACTACCACCAAAAAAAACCACTGACCTCTAAGTATATGATTGTCTGATCCTCAAATTTAAGTTTTCCTTGCTTATTGTTGTTCTGTAATGTTTTGCATTTCTGAAAAGAATATACAGAAAAATCTATTCTTTGATTAGGATTAGGAGGAAAGGGGAAAGTGTTCAAATCGTGTTGTCTTTTACTGTGTTTTCTACAAATAGAAAACTCATAATGGGTTAAATATAGGAAGGTGGGCTGAAGTTCAAGGGAGAGAAAAAGTTTTATACACGGATTATTGTATATCTCTGGAAATTAGTTTAAATTGGCTTAAGCTCTGGCTTCTGAGTAAGTAAATGCAATTTTCTGTTTTTAAAAATATTCTTATTGATATAATGTTAAATAGTTATAGATTAGCATATATATATATATATATATATATATATATATATATATATATTTCAAACTCTGAGAGTTAAGAGTCATCCTATGTAATTTAACTGGTCCACATGAACATAGTCACTCAGAGAATGAATCATATTTGGATAAAAGTCTAAACCTTTTGCCATTCCTTGGCATTTTAAATTGCAAATGTGATGAAGTTGTATTTGTGTGCTCATATAGGTAAGCTGACATGGTAAAGGGACTTGCTTTGTTGTATGTTGTTATTACTGAAAGAAGATGCCTCTGAAAAATTCTCATATTCAGTGAATTGGAGAAGTACCTGTTACAAGGTAGTTTGAAAATAATCTTCATAGGAATAATGAACACCTGGATTCTAGTCCCAAATCTAATATAATAAATGGTGGAAACTAGACTTAATTTCCCATTGGGGTAATGGCATATTGGAACCAATATTGCCTTAGTCCCTTTTAAGACTCACATGTTATACTATTTATAATATTTCATCTCTTTTTTTAAAGACCCTTCTTCTTGAGCTATAAAAAATAATTGGATAAATAATAAGACTAGAAAAACATATTGAGAGCTTTCCTAAGATCATCGTGTACAAAAGATGTTGTGACCCAGCAAACCATTTGATTTTAGAGCCAGTGACTACCTTCACCTGGAGTTCTGCAGTTCTGGGTCACCATGTCACACTTCAACCACACGAGCACCTCCTTCTTGCTGACTGGCCTCCCAGGCCTGGAGGCTGTGTACATCTGGCTCTCCATCCCTTTGTGTGCTATGTATGTGGCCTCTCTGGCAGGGAACAGCCTGATCCTGTGGGTGGTGAGGTCGGAACCCTCGCTTCACCAGCCCATGTATTACTTTCTATCGATGCTGGCAGTGACAGACCTGGGCCTATCTGCCTCCACGCTGCCCACTATGCTTCCCATCTATATACTGGGGCTCAGAAAGGTGGCGGTGGACTTGTGCTTGGTGCAGCTCTTCTTCATCCACACCTTCTCTGTCATGGAGTCCTCTGTGCTGCTGATTATGGCCTTTGACCGTTTTGTGGCCATCAGCAAACCCCTGCGCTATGGTACCATCCTCACAAATCCCCGGATTGTCAGTTTGGGATTGGCCATCATGGTGCGCAGTGTGGGTCTCCACGTCCCAGCCCCCATCATGCTGAAGAAGCTGCCTTACTGCAGGAACCACCTGCTCTCCCATTCCTACTGCCTGCACCCGGATGTCATGAAGCTGGCCTGTGCTGACACCCACATCAATAGTGCCTATGGCCTCTTTGTTGTTCTCTCTACGCTGGGTGTGGACTCGGTGCTCATTATTCTCTCCTATGGGTTAATCCTCCAGACAGTGTTGTCCATTGCCTCTAAGGCTGAGCGTTTGAAAGCCCTCAATACCTGTGTGTCCCACATCTGTTCTGTTCTGCTCTTCTACACACCTATGATCGGCCTGTCCATGATCCACCGGTTTGGGAAGTGGGCTTCCCCCTGCAGCCGTGTGGCGCTCTCCTATCTCCATTTTCTTATACCACCAGTGCTCAATCCAGTCGTGTATACCATCAAGACCAAGCAGATCCGACTGAGGATGCTGCGCATCTTCTTGTCATGTGGAGCTGGCATCAGTGACATAAGGAGTCATTAAATATTTGGCAGAAAGAGAAAGTAAAGGTGAGACATTAATTGTGCTATTGATTAGTGAGCCACCGAACACATAGTGAGTCCCTTAGTGAGGAGAAGAATGTAAGAAAGAGGCACCATCTGTCTTCATGGATCCTCAAGAAATCTCATCATGGGAAGAAATGATCTATTTTGAAGGAAAGGTACATATGGTTTAAGACTCATGAAGGGAGCAATTCTAAATGGAAAAGAGACAAACATCAGTTAAGGAATTTTACAAACATAGAAGTAGTTAGATAATGCTTTGTTTTACAACGTAAGAGAAGTATTTTTTTGGTGAATAGAGTAATGGATAGATTTGGAATTCACTGATATTAGAAGAACTCTTAAAATTATCCATCAAGTAATAGTACTCATGGGGCTGGAGCTGTAGTTTAGTGGTAGAGGTCTTGCCGAGCATGTGTAAGGCACTGGGTTTTATCCTCAGCACCACATAAAAACAAACAAATAAAATAAAGGCATTCTGTCCATCTACAACTAAAAAAAAAAGATATAGTTTCATGAAGTCAGCTAGTGTATCTCTCAGGTTCACCATTGCATCCCCTCCCCTGAACATGGCACTTTCCATATATTAGTTGTTCGGTTTCATTATTGGATGGAAGATTGAGTGGATGAATAGGTTACTCATTTTAGGAAGACTCCTGGCAAGGGCAAAGTGTTCATGAGGCAATTAATGCAGGTACAGCTGTGTGCCGGTCGTCATGCCTATATAAGGACTTTTCAGTTTCACTTCTAGTGAAACTTTCTAGTGCATTCTAAGATTTTGCTGATTTTATTTTCTTTTTCTCAGTAGAAATTTTGAAGATGGTATTGTTACTCAGTTCTTAAATTGCTAGTTTATTTGGTCAGAATTGCCAACTAACCTTTTTAATCCCAAGAATGGAAACAATCCCAAGCATAATTTTCTCAGGTGTCATTTTTTTTTAATATCCTCAACCTTGAACACAACTAGTTGCTCAACTGTAAATGAAAGATGAATTTAAGATAAAATTCATGGACTTTTTTATAGTAGCTTTCATACTAAATGCAGTAGTAATTGTTTTATAATTACTTCATAAAATTTTTGCTCTTCAGCTCCTCATTATCTTGCCTTATGAGGAAAACAAAAGGGACACAAAGTGAGATTGAAGCAGCAAAGAGATTATAAGTAATACCAGAAAACAAAATCATAATTTTGAAAGGTAGCACAAGTAAAAGAAAGAACTAGCCTAACAAGTTTCTACAGTCTCAGTCTATTTGCTTATTCTCTGAAATACCAGGAGGCACACTACAGTAATCATGTATCATAATTGGAGTTGATAATGATGAAACAAAATCTTAATGAAAAGACAAGTACATCATGTATTATTCAAGAAACATCACAGAGAGACATCTTTATTATACGGTTATTATTAACAAAAATGTTTTGTTAATTAAAAAAATAAGCCTTTCACCTATATGTGGTACCCATACTAATAGCATTAATTCACAGAAGAATCACTGCATTGAGGTGTTGACTACACCTATCCCACAATCTATTCTAACTGGAATTTGTTTTTAATTTTTACTTTTCATTCACATATAAAATGGTACATATTTATGGGGTGCAATGTGATGTGTTTTTTGTTTGTTGTTTTTGTGGTAGATTTATGGGGTGCAATGTGATGTGTTTTTTGTTTGTTTTTTGTTTTTGTGATGTTGAGTATCAAACCCAGGGTTGTGCATGTGAGGCAAGCACTCTACCAACTGAGCTATATACCCAGCCCTAATCTGATGTTTGGATTCATGTATAATGATCAAATCAGGGTAATTAGCATGTTAATCACCTTAAATAATTAGCATTTTGTGTGATGAAAGCATTTCAAATCTTATTTTCTAGCTATTTTGAAATATGCATGAATTAACATTAACTCTATTTACCCTACTGTGCAATACAACACCAGAGAGCTTGCTCCTGGCTAACTGTAACATTGTACCCATGACCAAATTTGTTTGCCTTTTTTTCCCCTTTAGTTTCCCAGCCTCTGGTGACCTTTATTCCACTCCCAATTTCTATAATCTTTTGGTGATAAATTAGACTTTTATTTTTTAATTTCAATGAGTAGGTAGATGGTGGCATTTTACTGGCACTGAAATAAAGGTAGATAAAAGATGATGAATTCAATTTTATATCCACATAATGCAGAATATCTGCAGGAAATCAAACAATTATATACAACTCACCTAATATATACTGCTGAAACTCAGAAAAGATATCCAAGCTTCAAACATAGCCTCATTAATGATCAGTATAAAGATGACAACACATGGACAACACATGATCATGGTCAACACATGACATGATTTTTCCTTGGTGTTAGATGGTATTCCTGGATCTATAGTTTTATTTCACTTATTAAATTTGGAAAATTCTAGAACATTATTACTTTGTGTAGTTCTTCTCCTTTTCTTCTTCTGGTATTCAAATCATCTGTGTTAAATGATTTTATATTGTCACATTGTTCTCAAATGTTCCCCATCGTCTATTCTTTTCTTTTCTCCCTTCACATTTCAGTTTGGGAATTTTTTATTAAAACTGATGCCTGTGAAGTGCCTTTGCTCTTCCTATGATGCTACTTTTTAATAGCTCTTTTAAGACCTGAATCTGACATAACTTTCCTATGTACATGTATGAGTACACCACAGTGAATCTCAATACTATGTACATTCACAAAACTGGATTCTAAATAGAATAAGATATAGTTCATGTTTGTTTAAATATATCAGAATAGATTCTACTGTCATGTGTAACAAAAACAACAACAAGGGAAAAAGTTTACCTATAACTGAACAGAGTTCTTTGAATAGTTAGCTTATGGTTCCTACTTACAAAATGTGATGGAGAATTTCTGCTCACTAGTCACCTCTGCTATGGGTAAGAAATGGTTCATTCTCAAGCCTTAAACAGCCTAATGGGGACATTTGTTTAAAAAAATGGATTATATATTTCACGAAACATATGTCCTGAGTAATTTCTAGGAATCTTTTTACCATACCAAAATTTGCTTCTGATCCTTATATTTCTTTTAACAAAAAGAAAAAAAATTGCTTGTAAACAAAAGTCATCTGTTCCCATCAAGTACTGATAAACATAAGATATACAAAAATAATGAAAACATGTTCCATGCATTGATTATGTCAAATCTTTGTTTTATAAATCTCATTCTTTTACCGTGGTTGGACAATAAAAGTAAGTTTGCTGATTTTGCCCACTCAAGTGTATTCCCTTTGTGTCTCCACATGTGAAATCTGAAGAGATTGTTTATTACTCAGAAACAGCCTAAACCGCTTTTATAAGTTTAAGAAAGTGTGCAGGGGTTAAGAGTGGTAGGTAGCTATATAGCATTTAAAGCATCCTCCTCCTGAGTCTAAGGTCCCAACAACTCCCTTACTTTATTTATGTTATTTCCCATATTTCCTTCATCTTTTAGCAAATTTCTGAAAATTCATAACAGGATAAAAGAAGTTGTCCTGTTTCTCATTGCAACAGAAGCTACCCTAAAATAGAGATTATCTGAACATCAGCTTGATTTTCTTCTAAATATATTTCCACAAATAAAATTATGGCTTTGGTAATTATGACCTCCCCTTGGTGATTCTGTGAAGAACAAATTTCATGATTCTGTTATGTATCTGTGCCTGTATAACTGTGTGTATGTTTGCCACCATTATTTCAGGTTTTACACTGGGGAGGAGTTTTCCTGTGTTACCTAAGGACTCCTGATTGCAAATCTTCTCTCTTGATTCTTTTTTTGTTATTATTTTTTCAGCTTTATGGAGGCATAATTGAAAAAACATTGTATGCATTCAAGTGGTATGAAGTGCTGATTTGATAAATTTGGATCTCCCAATCTCAGAAAATGGAAATGATCTGAGGAATATGTACAAAGGTGATTATAAAGTACTGAAAAGTAACATACAAATCTGAGGTTTTACACCTGCGGTCACAACCTTCAGAGGAGTGGCAGGACCCACAATATTTGGGAGAAAACTTTTGAATGGTAAAGCATATATATCAAGACAAATAAGTTGAAAGTTGAAATGAAAACTAAAGTCTATAGTCATACCACCCTGAACATGCCCAATCTCATCTGAAATGAAAACTCAAGTCAAATGAAAACTAAAATCTGAATGTTTTTAATAAATTTCTTTAAAATTCAATTATTCTTACTAGCTCTTGTTACTTAAACATTTGATTATTATCAATTTTAAGAAAGTTCCTGGCTTGTTTTGTGTTGAGAAGGGGGTGGAAAATACTTTAAAATAGAGAAAAGGAGCCCATTTTGAAAAGCTTAGTGGTTTCCAGCAGAGAGGGCACTGTGGTCAGGGAAGACAAAGCTTGGAAGTCAGTAGTTCTATTCCAAAACTGTAGTATTCACTTAGGTTAACACAAGATCTGATTTGTGACCAATTTTTGTCATGTGGTTACTGGACTGTCATCAATAGAATGCTGAGGAATAGTAGAAGGTCTATAGCTTTTTCTAATCCCAACACTCTTGAATTTATACTTGTACTTTTACATCTGTGAATCAGTACACATGCATATATCCACTCCGAAATTTAAAATAAAAGACACAAGTAGAAAAATATGTAAAATATTTTGTGCAGTTTAATTTACTAAAAATTTAAAAATGTGCATGCACATTTTAACATTTAGAATAAATTTCTACTAATATTTGACAATTTGACTCTCTGCATAAATTTTATATTTATGTTATAATACATATTTGCTGTCTAATGTCATGAAAATATGAAAGACTATAACAGGAATTTAGGAGATATTAATTGAGGTCCCAACTCTAGCATAAGAACTTGTGAAAGGAGCGACTTCATTTTCAGGGTTAAAAACAATGAAAAGTTGGAATCAAGGTTGACCCAGTCCCTCTTTAGGCCTGTGATTCCAACCCCAACATTTTAAGTGGCTGCACGTGGAGTAATTACCTATGG